ACGAAATGAGAGGCAAAGAGAGACACAGCGAAAGGGAAAGACACAGAAATATATTTCAACTTTTGGGGCTCCCTGATGAAACATTTTGCGTTTAGTGAGAGAAAAAAATCTCAATGCCAACACTAAAACCACCTGCATTTCACCCGACAGAAAAGGTGAGAAAGGGTGAGAAAGAAACTGTTATGACCTTTGTGGCAGAAACAAACCTGAATTGTCAACAAACAACAACAGGAAGAGTAAAAAAACTCTCACACTAATTTGTGACTTATTTGTATTACATACAAATTAGGACCTTTTTGGTTTCTGCATCACTGAATTTTTTTACTGTGTCACGCTGAAAACACAAAAACACTGCAGTGAAGGAGTCTTTTAAGTCAGTTATATATGACAATTATATATGACAATCAGTGTGTGTGTGTTGGGTGCTCAGGGCCACGGGTGTTGTGTGCTAATGAGTTTAACTCTAAAAGAACTATGTGTTATTCCAGTGAACAGTTTTTGTGTGTGTGTTCATGTGTTCATATTGGGGTATAAGGAAAGCAGCTGCCTGCCTGTCATATGCACCATATACGCACCCACATCCACCTACATACACACAGACCAGCTGGGCAGCGGCTCCGTGTTCGGTGTACGACACATGTGTCGGCCTTCAATGTGGCACCGCATCAATTAAAGCAAACAGGACATCTATCATGGCTAACCTCGGAGCAGCATCTGACACACGCACGCACGCACGCACGCACGCACGCATGCACACACACACACACACACACATTAACACGTTTCTCTCAGAGTATATTGTTACTTAATTGAATATTGAAGTTAATTCAATTTAAGAAGAACAAAATCCCAATTCCCAAAAACATTTTCCCTTAATAAGTAAAAATATGAAAGAAACTTCATGAGGAGCAACAGAGAAGATCTGATCCCTCTTATATGAACCACATCCCAATCAATCTTTAGTTAAAGGTTATATGATTTATTTTCAAGCACTGTGAATTACTGTGAGACCTTGCAGGAAGGTGTTAGGTCGTCAATTCAATGCAACTTTATTCATCTCTGAATTGGCAGTTGTATGCAGCAGCTTTCCACCCCCAAAATTCTTGCAGCATTAAACACACATCTTACACTTTATAGATTAAATACATCAAATCTAGCTATAGGAACTCAGTTTGATGACGACGGACAAAGTAAGAGTGACTTTTTCTTCCAGCCTTAATACTGTATAAGGA